GACAGCAGCTTCATCTGCCCGCCAGTCTCTGTGCAGAGCCTATTTTTTTTTTATGAATTTCCATGTTGATTTCAGGCTCTTGGTATTGAAATTCTTTCTCCAGGAAGCTGTAACCACAGGGGCAGCCGCGTCGGGAGAGTCCCCAGGCAGAGTGACGCTCACTAGGGGAACGGGGAGATCAGTCACGGGAGAAGTTGAACGGTCATGGTGAAAAGGAGGGGCCCACTGTGCTGAAGGCGCTCCCTGGCACTGAGGGGGTGCGTGCCTGTCCTGATGGCCAAGTGTGCTCCCGAGGACCAAGTGTGCAAGCGGCGTCTCTTGTGCCCTGGATCCTCAGGGCAAGGGCACATCTGGGCCTTGGGTTCTCCACAGAACCAGAACAGCACTTGGCACATGGTTGATGCTTGCAGACAGTCGTGTGTCCGCATACAGAGCAGGCAACAGCTCCCTGCTGTCAGCTACGTGGAGCCAATTAATACAGCCACACCCTTTCCCCCGGGCTCTGCTCTGGGTCCCACACACCCAGCTCTCTTGGTGAACTGTCTCTACAGACACCGGCCCAAATCCCCAACACTCAGCCTACCCTGCTGTCTGCACGCGCACGGATTCCACCTGCACTTCACTGTTCTCCCCTTCTGCCCCTCCCCCAGAGGAACACCGCTAACGTCCCTGATAATGACCAAGGGGCAAACTGTGACTTCTTCTGAGGACATCTCCCACTGTCGACATTATGCCACTGGACGCTCTATGAATTTAGTGCTTGTCTAGCGTGGGCTTTTTTTTTTTTTTAAATAGAAGAGTGGGTGCTTTGTGGCCCTGTGGGCACCGGAGGCAGCATGTCCAGCTCTCCCCTCCTGGCCCGTCCACTCCTAGGAGGCAGCACGTCCAGCTCTCCCCTCCTGGCCCGTCCACTCCTAGGAGGCAGCATGTCCAGCTCTCCCCTCCTGGCCCGTCCACTCCTAGGAGGCAGCATGTCCAGCTCTCCCCTCCTGGCCCGTCCACTCCTAGGGAAGCCCCGAGCAGTTCAGAGGAGGGGCTCTCACGCCCGCATCACTGCTCTTGCCCACAGCCCTTTCAGACCCGTGCTGACCTGGGCCATGGGGCACCCTCTCACTTCCTGTCCAGAGGAAACAGAACTCTCTCCTTTAGAAAGCAGCTGGGGCTTTGTGGAGACTCCCGTGAGCACCTGCTAGGACCCAGGAAGCAGAGAGGGCGGGTGGATGCACATCTACGATGCTAGGAGGAGGCCAGCTGGCACGGAATGAGGGGCCACTGCGGGCCACGACTGTGACAAGTGCTTCTAAGGACTCCAGAAATAAACATCTTTGTGCTATATGGCGCCTGTCTTGGAGAAATCCATCAAGTAATCAGGCACATGTGACACAGGAAGGACTGACTAACTAGGGAACATAAAACAGTATTAACCGTCAAATTGCTTCTCTACTGATTGAAATCTTCCATAACAGGGTCAGCACAGTTACTACAGATGAAAGACGTTGAAACAAAGCACTTTAGAGGGAGGTGGAACTTGACAGCAACTTTGACAGTGGAGGTGTCCCTGCTGTGGGACAAGAGGATGTTTCTGTAGAAAGCACTGCATGAGCAAAGACCTCGGTTACAGATGGGCACAGATGACTGTGGGACAGCAGCAAGTCCAGCTGGTGCCATGGAAGCTAAGTGGAAAATGCCCGTGGCTCTAACAATATTTGACCTCTCTCTGAGTGCCGAGCTGAAAACCCAAGAGTAGAAAGGATTAGAGGGGCCTGAAGACCCCGCCTCGGAAAAGCATCACACAGAACAGTAGTGACGTCATAAATAAGAGTGTCAATTGTTGAATCAACAGCAGGAGTCACTGTGCACTTGCTCCCCATGTAGGATTTCTGTCCTTAATGTGTTGAACAATGAGAATTAACGGCAAAACTAGTTTTCAAACAGTACTTTATACTTTGTGTGTCTTGTGAGTGCAAACTGTTGAAATCCTTACTTAGTATAGAGTTGATCTTCTGTATATGAAGAATTAAAAATGAATCTTAATGGAGAAAGGGATGGGAGAGGGAACAGGAGGTGGGATGGTTTCGGGGTGGGAGGGCAGGTATGCGGGGAAGAACCACCATGATCTAAAAGCTGTACTTATGAAATTTATATTTACTAAATAAAAGCTTTCTATAAATAAATTAATTAATTAAAAAAAAACAGTAGTTGAGGCCAGAGCTGTGGCATAGTTTGTAAAGCCTCCACCCGCAGTGCTGGCAGCCCATATGGGGACCAGTTCGAATCCCAGCTGCTCCACTTCTGATCCAGCTCTCTGCTGTGGCCTGGGAAAGCTGCGAAGACGGCCCAAGTCCTTCGGCCCCTGCACCCAAGTGGGAGACCTTGGAAGAAGCTTCTGGCTCCTGGCTTTCGGATCGGCCCAGCTGTGGCCATTGTGGCCATCTCGTGAATGAACCAGCAGATGGAAGACTTCTCTCTCTTTCTCTCTGCCTCTGCCTTTCTGTAACTCTTCCTTTCAAATAAATAAATCTTTAAAAAAAAAAAAAAAACCAGCATTTCCAGAAAAGCAGACTCTTATGTATGTCTTTCATGATGTGCATTATGTTACCAAAAATGAGACAATCAGTGATGTGTCAGAACTCACACTTATTACTTGAGTATAATCACACTATTAAAGCTATCGTTGACAGAATAGGAATTTTTATTAAAAGATTTTTATAAATATGATGAATTACTCAATAAGTTATTTCATCACCTAGTTTAAAAAAAAAGATTTTTTTTTAATTTGAGAGGCAGAGTTACAGAGAAATGGAGAGGCCGGGAGAGAGAGAGATCTTTCATCCACTGGCTTACTCCCCAAATGGCAACAACAGCTGGGGCTGAGGCATCAGCTTCACCTGGGACTCCAACATGGGTACACGGGCCCAGCACTTAGGCCATCCTGTGCTGATTTCCTAGGTGCATCACCAGGGAACTGGATGGGAAGTGGAGTGCTTATGACTCGAACTGGTGCCCATAGCAGATGCTGGCATGAAGGAAGTGGGATAATCCACTGTACCAGAGCGCCAGCCCCACATCACCCAGTCCTAAGGAATGACGGTCGGGTCAGACCTCTCTCACACTCAGCCTCAGGGCCAGGCTGACCTGCGTGTGTCGCCCGCCGGGTTAGTGTGTGTGACCCGTGTTGCGCTGACCTCCTCTCTGACACCTGCAGACTTAGTGCGACCTCAGATCTTGTAGAAGCCCAAGGGGGCTAACGGAGTACAGAAGGCGGTACAGAGATGGACAAACAAGTGGTGGCCAGGAACTCACAGAGGGAAACCACCCGGCAGCGGCTCACCGGCTGCCCCTTGCTGAATTCCTAACTTGGTGGAGATGCCACAACGCCATCCGAACTCTGCACTGACGGAAAATCACCAGAGCTGGCTCAGTGGAACGACAGAGAACAGGGAGTCATTTCCAGAAAAAGACACAAACACCAAACTCGCGGTGTTCCTGGCCGATGATCTGTAGCAGAAAACCCTTGCAACTCGCACAACTCCGCCAAAATACAGAAGTGTGAGATGTGTGAGAAAAGCCCGGATGGGGTAGGGAGGAAGGGGGGTGAGGAGGAGCCATGAACGGGGAGCCCGAGCAGAGCGAAGGGGAGGAGGACCAGGCTGCACGCAGACCTCTGTGAGAGCGCACGTGGGCTGCGAACGCCTGCGTCAGGAAAGCACCCGCTCCGCGCAGCAAAGTCACGGAAACGCCAGCCCCTCCGATGTCCACGCGGGACAAAGCCCGAGCAGCGCGCTGCACCCACGCCCCACGCCCTCCTGAGGGCCCTAACACGCACGTTCCTGAGGACGTGACGCTGCGAGCAGAGTCTAGAAGTTGCTGAGGTCCCTGTTCCACCCAGAAGCGTTACCAGCCACCCGCGATGACCAGTGGCCACACCACTGACCCTCAGTGACCGCCGCACCAGGAGAGGGAGGCCGCTGGCTCCACACAGCCCTGCTCCTTCAGATGACCGAGTCAGGAACCGCCCGCGCACGGCTGCCACAGCTGGAGGGCGCCTGCTCCGACCGTGCACAGCCCACATCAGCGCCCCTGCCTCCAGGGACAAGGCAGAGGTGAAATGCTGACGGGTTCGCTGAGCCTCCAAGAGTCCCACCAAGTGGCCACTGGGCAGCTTTCATTCCTGCCCCCAACAGCTCTTGCACTGCCAAGGCCGTGGGGAAGTTGTGCCCCGCGGTGGAACCCTGCGAAGCGCAGGAGGCCGTGGGCTTCATTTCCTGAGGTGCTGGCCCTGCTGCCTTCAGGCCCCGGGTCCCCGCATTGGACTGTGGGCCAAAAGCTCTGGGAGGAGAAGAGACTGAGCTCCATAATCAAACACAGAAAGCAGCGAGCAGAAAGGGCCGCCAGACCACTGTGGGAACACGACCTTCGCTGAACAGAGAGCTGCAACCAGCGTGGGGTCTCGGGCACCATCACAAACACGACTTTAAAACGGCAAGACAAGGGCCTGGGCCAATGCAGCCCACACCCGCCTCTAGCCTACAGGGTAGACTACAGGACTAGACTCGCTCACTAGCACCTGCCATAGGACGTGGGCCACCTGAGCAGGGAGGGCGGGTAGTGCCAGCAGCCGGGAGGGATCTCGGCCAACCACCCTGCACGCCTCCTGGTGGACACTGCGATCCTGACGCTGATGACAGCCAAGAACCAGTACGTCGGCACAGTTTGCAGCCATGGGCAACCCAGACAGAGCTGTCATTGGCGTCTGAAACACGGCCACAGGCCAGCTCTGTCGCGAGGAAGCATGCAGAGAGCTGCCTTCCCAGCAACCACAGACCACACGTGAACAGCCACGTGGCTCCCGTGTCTCACGGTGGAAACTAACCTTTCAGAGACACGAAGGTGTGCAGTGGAACCGAATTTCAGCGCACAGAAGAAAACCCCAGATGTACACAAATGCCTCTTAAACGCTTACATTAACTAAGCGACAACTGATTGCTTAGAATCCTTACCCAGACAAAGCGATTTTGGGTGGTCCTGGAAGAGTTGAGCTGGAGGGGAACGCAGGCCCATTGAGGACTGCCGGGAGGGCTCCGTTATCCACCTGTGTGAACCAAAGGCAAGAGCCTGTGCGTTAGTGTGTGGGGTCAAGCTCCAGCCACCAGCCCCTAGGTACAGACAGAGGAGATTCTTGTCCTTCTGCAGGTGTATGGCCCAATCCCTCTATAACCACGTCCGACCCCCATTACCACTGTGAGCCTCCTGACCGCTGAGCAGGTTCTAGGGCCAAGGACATCAACAACCCACCTGGCCACAGGATGCCCAGGGTGGGAGAAAGCCCGCATTGTGCACACCAAGAGGACGGGAGAAGGGACGCAGGGCGACCATTGTCAAGCCAGCAAGCAGAACGCACAGCCGTCAGTCGGCTGGCCACGGAGCTTGTCACAGAACTCTCATTTTTATGAAGTACTGGTTTGGAAATAAGTGACTCCCATGAGCAACTCCATAAACTGCAAATGTTCCTTAAGCATTAGTAATAACGAGCACAAGAGGTCTGCCACGGGAAGATCCACTGGCAACCACTCTTTTTCATTTTTCCAGAAACTAATTTGCAGTGCTATGAGCTGAGAAGCAGTGCCATAATCACGCATCCTCCATGCCTCTGCTCCCAGTTCTCACTTCCTGTCCCTGTATCTCACGAGCATGGCTCAGAGGCTGCTCACAGGGAAACAGATGGGTCGCGAAGCGTCCCTGTCTGAGTGCTCTTCCTCTCCGAGCTGACAGTCACAGCGTTGCACCCAATAGGATTAGAGATGGTTACTGTGTGAATCCCAGCGACCCACCCCATCTTTGTCGCGTCCACCGTCCAGTAGCCTTGCTTACTCCCTCTGCCCCCATCTCAACCCGTGTGTAATCACCGCTGACACGGAGGGAGGAGTCACCCTGAGGAAGTCAAACTCCCTCATTCACACAGCACAGCGCAGTCCCAGGGCTTCGCCCCAGACCCCACCTGGCCTGGCTGGGAGTCGGGAGGGAAGGGCTCACAGGGGACAACTGGCGTCTCCACTGCGGTCACCCAGACACCACCTGTTAGGTCTGTTGTGGGGAGCAACTCGGACTAGACTAAGTTACTGGAATTAAGACTTATTCTATGCATCTGCTCTCCCACAATATGGCGCTGGGAGAGGAGTAAACAACTTCTACACAGCTGCCTCCAGTTGCACCAATAACCTGTAGGAGCTGATCCTGCTCCTGATTGGAGGAGAGCAGCGTACTCGGTGTGTGGGTAGCAGAGTTGGGATTGGTGGAAGAGGACTATAAAGGAGGAAAGAGACAACATGCACCAGGAACGTCTAAGGGGAACATCCGAATAACATCTGAGCAGCCCCTGAGAGAGCCGGCCGGCTGGCCAGCGGTGTACCGCTCCCCCGCGGAAGTGGGGAAAGTGGCAGGGGGAACCGCCCTTCCACGGAGGTGGAAGGGTCGGCAGCCAACCCGGGAAGAACCAGCAGCAAACCTGGGAAGGGCCGAGCAGACAATAGAACAGCGCAGGGTCCTGTGTCGTTCCTCCACGAAGAGGGGGAGCGACAGTCTGTCTGCACTTGCCCGTCTGAGCTCTGCTCCTTCGGGAGGAGGGATTTCACAGCCCTTGGTGTTGAGGCAGTTCTTTGCACACAGTAGGTACAATTCCATTCACCCACCCCCTTGCTTACTTAGTCCCAAGGTAAAGCAGAGAGAAAGCTATGTCGTGTGGGCATGCCTTAGGTCATACGTCTGGGGCAACTTCATGCTGCAACCCCGGAGTTCCTTCAGCCACGGCTGGCACTAGGAGTGCAGAAAGTAGACTCCAAGGCGGGCCTCTCAGACCCCTGTGTTCACGATTCCCGGGAGTGTTTCAGTGCTGGGTCTGCAGCTCGGGGCGGGGGCGGGGGCGGGGGCCCTGGCCTCTCTTCAGCCTCCAGGTACCGACTGTTCTCAGGGTCTGTACCCCACGCTTTGAGCAGGGAGACTCAGAAGAGCATAGAGAATCTCTCCCTAAGTTTACTTTTCCAATAAATACAATCTTTTTAAAAAAGGAAAACTGTACATTTGTATAATTATATATATTATATGTATACTATGGTATAATCATAAGAGCAAAGATTTTTTAAGAAAAAGCATATTCATAGTAATGAGAGAGGTGAGGGATTTTCTGGACCGAGTAGGTGAGTATGTGCTGCTGGGAGGTCCACAATGGTCAAGGGCACCACCTGGGACAGCTGATCGGAAACCACGGGAATGGGCAAATCAGAGAACTGGCAAAGAGCTGTGTCTGAGGCTTACTCCAGCCTCTTATGGTGACTGACAAGGTGGTGAAAGGTCTCAACACTTGCTAAATGCTTCAAATGTTGGTTTTAACTGATTTGTTTGGCAGGCAGCAAGACAGAAAGGGACAGAGATACAGAGCTCTTATCCAGTGGCTCTTTCCCCAAATGTCCGCGGAGACGAAGACCAAAGCCAGGTGCAAGAAATTCAATCCACGTGACCCCATGTGGTTAGCAGGTACCCAATCATTTGAATCACCGTTGCTTCCCAGGGACTATATAAGCAGTAAGCTGGTGTCAGGAGCCAGAAATGTGTATCAGACACAGGTGTGTCAACATGCAACCTAGGTATCTTAATCACTAGGCACGTGTCCACTCCTGTTCACCTTTAAATATAGGATCAAAAATATATTTCCTGAGTAATTTCAACTGCAGCAATCAAAATTTCAAGAATGTTTAATGCCTGATAATATTCTTAAAAATCATAACAATGACTCACTTGTTATATAACGATATATGGGACTGGCAAAAATCTTCTTACTAAAGTAATTATTCGCTTAGGGACATCGCAAGGAAGACTGAAAATAAACTCATATACCATTCCTCTTCTACTTGCGTGTAAAAGAAAATGTATTATAAAGTTACCATATGTGCAGGTATTTAAACTTACCTTAATTCTATTATTTTTTCCATAAAACATTTTAAGTCAATGTGTTTATTATACCCCTCACCTGGCCCCCCATTTTTTGATATGAGCTTCCAGGGATAGTCTGCTATGCTAACATATGCTGTTAGTACTCAGATTCTTTTTTTTTTTTTTTTAATTTATTTGACAGAGTTAGACAGTGAGAAAGACAGAGAGAAAGGTCTTCCTTCCGTTGGTTCACCCCCCAAATGGCTGCTACGGCCAGAGCTATGCAGATCCGAAGCCAGGAACCAGGTGCTTCCTCCTGGTCTCCCATGCGGGTGCAGGGCCCAAGCACTTGGACCATCCTCCACTGCCTTCCTGGGCCACAGCAGAGAGCTAGACTGGAAGAGGAGCAACTGGGACTAGAACCTGATGCTCATATGGGATGCCGGCACTGCAGGTGGAGGATTAGCCAAGTGAGGCATGGTGCCGGCCCAGTACTCAGATTCTTAAAGTATGCACCACAGTGCACTGAGTGCCACAGCAAACTCACCAGAGTACCACTAGACAATTTTCCACGTTCAAAGTCCGATGGTGCACAAGGAACTACTTGCAAATTAGGTGTCATAGTCAAATGGTTACTAAGATGTCAGGATACAAATATTCATTATGCTATTTGAACCAAATTACTTAACAATGAAGCCTATAGGCAAAATTAAACAGTATTGATGGGGGTGGCTTCCGTAGCAGCAGTGGGATGCCCACATCCCATGTCAGAGTGCCTAGTTTGAGTCTCAGCCCCTCTGCTTCCAGCCCAGCTTCCTGTTTGTGCACCCTGGGAGGCAGCAACGTCAGCTCAAGTACTTGGGTCCCTGTCACCTCCATGGGAGACTTTAATCAAGTCCCAGGCTCCTGTGTTAGCTGGGCCCAGCAGGCTAAAACAGCATTTGGGGGGTGAACCAGCAGATGGACGCTCTCTCTGTGTCTCTTTGTCTCTGCCTTTCAAACAAAGCAACATACATACATACATACATACATATCCCTGAGACAGTAAGAGTACTGTGGCCTGCAGCCTTCTGAATCCAAGTCAAACAAAACATATCCTCCACTCCTGACGCACGGGCCTGCCTGCCCGTATTTCCCGCTCTTGGCTCACACTTCCGTTCAATGAGGAGACTTGGACTCAGGCAACAGAACACACTTATTTTATGGTCCTGTTTAAAGTGTACACAGTGTAGGGGCCGGCGCTGTGGTGTAGTGGGTAAAGCCACCACCTGCAGTGCTGGCGTCCAAATGGGCACCAGTTCGAGTCCACTTCCAATCCAGCTCTCTGCTGTGGCCTGGGAAAGCAGTAGAAGGTGGCCCAAACCCCTGGGCCCCTGCATCTGGGTGGGAGACCCGGAAGAAGCTCCTGGCTCTGGCTTTGGATCAGCACAGCTCCGGCTGTTGCGACCATTTGGGGAGTGAACCCACGGATGGAAGACCTCTCTCTCTGCCTCTGCCTCTCTGTAACTCTGCCTTTCAAATAAATAAATAAATCTTAAAAAAAAAAAGAAAGAAATGAATCTGGAAGTGATGTAGGGAGGATATATATATATATATATATATATATATTTTACAGGCAGAGTGGACAGTGAGAGAGACAGAGAGAAAGGTCTTCCTTTGCCGTTGGTTCACCCTCCAATGGCCGCCGCAGCCAGCGCACCGCGCTGATCCGATGGCAGGAGCCAGGAGCCAGGTGCTTTTCCTGGTCTCCCATGGGGTGCAGGGCCCAAGCACCTGGGCTATCCTCCACTGCACTCCCGGGCCACAGCAGAGAGCTGGCCTGGAAGAGGAGCAACTGGGACAGAATCCGGCGCCCTGACCGGGACTAGAACCCGGTGTGCCGGCGCCACTAGGCGGAGGATTAGCCTAGTGAGCCACGGCGCCGGCTGATATATTAATTTTTACTCCAGGTCCCTGTGTTACACAGACAATGCAGACACCTTTAAGATGCGAAAGTGCTAACAAATATTATTCAAAAGATGAGACAGTGAACACACATACACGCATGCGTGTGGGTTGTACCACAGAGAAATATCCATCATGAGTGGGCAGTAGGCCAAAGGATTGCTCAAAGGGAGGAAGTGGGGGGGTAAGGAAGGAGAAACAGGGGACCTCCAGCTGTGACTGGCAGCAAAAGAGAGAAAGCCCCTCCAGTGGTTGGCCTCTTTTATTAGGTAGGGGTGGTGCCTCTACAGGTGTGAAGTCACCTGGGAATCGTATGGCACCTTCCCAAGTTCCTCATGGAGTCTCCCCTCAGATCCTGGCTGCAGTGGGTGCACCCGAGGAGAGGGGTGTTTGGTTACAAGTAGGAGGACAGAATTACATACGGGGGCTTGAGACTTCTAGCTCAGCAGATCTAAACTAACTACTTGCCCATGTATCCCACAGCAGAAGCGTCTATTTTGTTCCATTCTTAGCTCACTAGGATGGGTTAGGAAGTTTGCCAACTGCCTAATAACCTGCTTCTTCACCTTAGATACCAAGCCAAACATTCACTTACCCCTCACATGGCCACAGGGCACGGTTTGTTAATTTACTTTGTCCTTGACTGTAGATACTTATTCTGGTCTTGATACTGAGGAAACAAAGTGCCTTCAGCCTCTTCTGCCAGCACTGTCCACACACAGCCTCTGCGTACCACTTCCGACTGACATTATCACCTAAAATGGAAAAACAATGACCACGCTGCACTTACAGCAGATCACTCCAGTGAAATGCACCGCAATAAATGTAAGTCTGAAGTTCGTTTTAATCCAGACTTTAAGATTTAATGGAAAATGGGAAGCTACAGGTATGTTCTGGATTCCTCACTCTGGAATGACATGCTCTCTGGAGCTAGTGCAGGGCAAAAACCTCCCGAAAACACTTCCTGAGACGTCTAATGTGCTAACAGACGTTCATGCGTGTGGCTCGCTGACACTGGGACGTTCCAGAACGTGAGACACACAAGAGGGTGCTGCGGTGCTAAGCCCAACCCTCCCCACCCCGTTCAGTAAGAGGCTGCCCTGCACCTGACCCATGTCCATGTCTGGATGTCCACTTAGAGTACTCTTCACTACACTTCTTCCTTCCTACCACAGACGTGTATCAGTTACCATGTAGATAACAGGCAGAGTTAGACAGTGAGGGAGGAGACAGAGAGAAAGGTCTTCCTTCCGTTGGTTCACCCCCTAAATGGCCACTACGCCCAGCGCACTGCACCGATCCAAAGCCAGGAGCCAGGCGCTTCCTCCTGGTCTCCCTTGCGGGTGCAGGGCCCAAGCACTTGGGCCATCCTCCACTGCCTTCCCGGGCCACAGCAGAGAGCTGGACTGGAAGAGGAGCAACCGGGATAGAATCCGGTGCCCCAACCGGTACTAGAACCTGGGGTGCCGGTGCCACAGGCAGAGGATTAGCCCAGTGAGTCGCAGTGCTGGCCAAACTGGAAAATCTTAAGAAGCCATGTCCATCTCTCAGGGCCTATCACTGTCCATTTCTGTGCTAGGATTCTAATAACGAATAAAACCTCAGCAGCTAGGTGAGTCTGTCTTCAATCCCTTAGGCCAAGGAAATGCATCGAGGGAGCTCCCTGTGTGCCCAGCTCCCGTCCAGGCCAAGCCGCATGGACACAGATGCAGAGAGGCCGTGGTCTCTGCCTGCACACAGCCTCCAGTTCTGACGACAAACCTCAGCACCTGAGAGGTTGTGGCTTCCGCCCTGAAGTTGCTTATGCTCTTACTAGGAAACCCAAACAGGCATAAAGGACCAAGCTACCAAAGCAGACGCAGACAGACTATTACGGTAGCAAGGTGCAGGCCATCGGGTCAGGGCGTCTGGTCACCCGGCCACTTGCTAGGAACCCGGTATCCGTGTTCCGGGAGAACTCGATTTGCATCTGGAGAGAAAGTTGCAGCTACCGAACACACAGACCACACTGGGGGCGAGACTCCGAGCGCCGCTCCAGAACGTTCTGTAGTGCACACACCTGGGCTCCTCCCTCTGGGCTGGGCTAACGCCACTCTCCAGTCTAGGGGCCATCTTCTACTGCTTTCCCAGGCCACAACAGAGAGCTGGATCGGAAGTGGAGCAGCTGGGGCTCAAACCGGCACCCAATATGGGATGCCTGCACTGCAGACGGTGGCTTTACCTGCTACACAACAGCGCCAGCCCCATAATTTGGAGATTTTTAAAAGGTTATTTCAAAATGTAAATCAAGGAAATTGGCAGATGGAAAACACCACAAGTATAGAAATGTGCACTTGGTAAGAAAGGTTAAGGAAGAGTTTTTTTGAATAAAGGACATGGTTTCTAAGAATGACTTTATCCTGATGGCTAGTTTACTCTAGACTGAATGGAAATGATGGAATGTTTCAGGTCAGTTGAAGAGGGTGTGTGGAAGTCACAGAAGGTTATGAAAGAAAGACATTTTTGGAAAAATAAGCTATGAATCTATTTCTCTTTGACATAGAATTAGAATCTGATCCTCTGTTAAAGCAATGAGTCACAGTGATCTGTTATGTTCTCTTAATGTCTCTGTTAGGTCCTATCGTTTAAAGAGCTCAGTTCTTATTATTAAGTTACGATTTGTTTAAATAGATGCTTATTCTAAAACATTTGAATAACCACCTTGTAACAATGATCAAATCAGGTCTACGTTATGTCATCATGTTAAGGGAGCTTATTTTAACCAGATATTTTAAGCCTTCTTGGCATCCTTGACAGGCATTCAAAAAAATCCATAATTTGGACTTTGAAATTTCCAGTAAATTTGGACTTTTATTTTTCTAGTTCGGGCCCAACCAGAAATATCACAGGATATATGTCTCTCATCTTGTAGAGACACCAACTAATCAGGATATTTGGATTATGCTAGGAGTACTGTTAAGATGTGAAGTGGTAATAAATTTTAAGCTTTGATAATATAAAATGCTACTGATACAAATGTCTGAAAGCTAAGTCTAATGACCTGGTGTTACTAGACGTGATGGTTTTCTTAATGAGAAAGGCCCAGAGGCCTAAAAGGGTTAAAATGTTCAAATGTTCTGTAAAACCCTACAGTAAGCAAGTGCCTCTTGTTGATTAATGAGTTTAAGGTTTTAAACATGACTATTTAGAGTCATCCACGGTTCTGTACAGGTTCTGATGGACTTTTTTCAGCCACTTCCATTGTATTCAGTACTTTGGGATGGCTCTGTAAACAGATGAAGCCAAGATTGCACTACAGGTTCCAACTGAAAGAAAGTATGGTTAATTCCGCTTACTAGGAGCAGACAGTAATCTGAATCAATTGGTAATTAAAAAAAATAGTTAAAGAGTTTAAGAAGCTATTACTGAAACTACTTTATTATTCTGTCTTGTAATGTTGCATGTGTGCACATATTGTATGTCTACATGGGAAAATTTATTAAAAACTCTGTTTCAATTGGCTTATAGATAAAAGATTGCTCATAAATTTAAACTGCAAAAATTAATCAAAGATATATTTTGATTCATGTGACCTGAATCTCCGTATCAGATGTTTTAAATCTGTTGGTAGAAAGAAACTAAAAATGTTTTTATATGTTTGTGCTTGAATTTGCTGGTTAAACAAGCTACACCACGTTAGATATTTAAGAGATGTTTCCAAATACATGTATTCTTAAAAATTATAGAAGGCATTGGCTCTTCCGGTGAATGTTATCCTAAGTTGTTACCTAATGGTTGAAGTCGCTTGCTAAGTTTTCATTTGATACTGCTATTGTCAGTGAGCGACCTGGGACTTGCTCCTCGTTCCTCTCTTCCAAGCACGACTTTTCCCCTCATTTCTCTATTCTCTTCGAGGTGTGAAATGACTATGCTGAATGAAGGACTCTAGGACACACAAGTTGATCTTTAGACCTTATAAAGGGATGGCTAACATTTTCTGTGATAGCACAGCCGAAAGGAGAGCTTAAATTACAACTTCACAGCTAGATTTACTTCGCCATGGGCACAGTACACAGGCAGAACCTCCCTTTCAGATCAAACAAAGGGAGAGAAAGTTTTAAAGTGAGGACATGGCTTTCCTCAAAGGCATTGTCTACCTCAGAATAAACCACTCGGGCCGGCACTGTGGTGTAGTGGGTGAAGCCTCCACCTGAACGCCATGGGCGCCGCTGCTCCACTTCCCATCCAGCTCTCTGCTGCGGCCTGGGACAGCAGTGGAGGGTGGCCTAGGTCCTCGGGCCCCTGCACCCACATGGGAGACTCGGAGGAAGCTCCTGGCCCCTGGCTTCGGACTGGCGTAACTCAAGGCCATTGCGGCCAATTGGGGAGTAAACCAGTGATGGAAGACCTCTCTCTCTCTGCCTCTCCTTCTCTCTCTCTATAACTCTGGCTTTCAAATAAATAAATTAAAAAAAAAAAAAAAAAGACCAGAACATGCCTGTGACTGCAGACTTCTAGTTTAGGCCACTGAAGATTAGAGATGGGACTTGAGCACCCCCTGGACTTGCATCCTTCGGTCTGCTTTAAAAAAAAAAAAAAAAAAAGGAGGAAAGGAAAACCAGGCATCGGAAGCAACGTAAAGGTAGGTGGCAGGCCTATGACAGGTGGCTCTGTGCGGTGGTCTGCCCTCAAGGAGACCCAACAGGCCAGGCCACTGCAGTGGTTTTCGACATGGAAATCTAGGGCTTCAGCAGAAGGCAGTTTATAAAGAGCCCTGGCAGCTCTGCCAGCCAAGACTGGATCACTGGACATGGACCTGCCCTGGAGCCGAAGGACCCCTGGGTCAGAGCCGCAGACCTCGCTGGCTCTCAGCTGAAAAGCCCTTCACCAGCGGGGAGGTGATGGCCGAGTAGGGTCAGCAACACAGCAGGCAGAGCTGTAGACTTCCTGTTGGAGATGCCACCTGCCTTCACCCGGCCAGCTCCCCTCCCAGGCCAGCTCGGTAACGGAAGTCAACCGGTGCCTTCCCTGGAGGTTCTCACTTCCCCAAGTGCTGCTACAGGGGTAGACTCGGTCCCCGCCCAGGAGGCAGCGGCTTGAGACACCGCCCATGCCAGCAGAGTACCTCGGCGCCCCATGCCGGCAGGAAGCAGCTATAGGACAGATCACCGCCCCTCTACCCGTCCTGGACATTTGGGGCTGATGTGATCCCGTACAGCTCCTGCTTTGTAAAAAACAAAAGGGGGGAATGTCAGTAAAATGGCACAGTCTTATCTATGGCGCAATCTACACCCCAACACCACCCTAGGCTCTAGCCCCCGCCGCCCCTGCTGGATGCCAGGTGGCCCCAGGGCCCAACCACCGGTGCCAAGCTCCACCCCCACCCTAATGGGATTCGCTGCTCCTGCTTCCCTGCCTGCCCCCTCAACGTTTTGACCATTCCTGAACAGGTGACTTGCTCGCTCTCCATCTCCTGATCTCTCACTCTCGCCCTCTCCCCCGTCTCCTGATCTCTCTCGCTCTCTCCCTGTCTCTCGCTCTCTCCCTCTCCCCCTGTCTCTGGATCTCTCTCCCTCTCTCCCCGTCTCTGGATCTCTCTCGCTCTCGCCCTCTCCCCCTGTCTCTGGATCTCTCTCCCTCTCTCCCCCTGTCTCTGGATCTCTCTCCCTCTCTCCCCCTGTCTCTGGATCTCTCTCCCTCTCTCCCCTTGTCTCTGGATCTCTCTCCCTCTCCCCCTGTCTCTGGATCTCTCTCCCTCTCCCCGTCTCTGGATCTCTCTCGCTCTCTCCCTCTCTCCCCCTGTCTCTGGATCTCTCTCGCTCTCGCCCTCTCCCCCTGTCTCTGGATCTCTCTCCCTCTCTCCCCCTGTCTCTGGATCTCTCTCCCTCTCTCCCCCTGTCTCTGGATCTCTCTCCCTCTCTCCCCCTGTCTCTGGATCTCTCTCCCTCTCTCCCCTTGTCTCTGGATCTCTCTCCCTCTCTCCCCCCGTCTCCGGATCTCTCTCCCTCTCTCCCCCGTCTCTGGATCTCTCTCCCTCTCTCCCCCGTCTCTGGATCTCTCTCCCTCTCTCCCCCGTCTCTCGCTCTCTCCCTCTCCCCCTGTCTCTGGATCTCTCTTACACTCTGCTTCTCCCTCTTTTCCTTCTTCGCCCCTTGCCTTGGGTCTGTCGGGTGCCCCCCAGTAAGCCCTCCCCCTTACTCCGGTGTTCTGTGTGCTTCGGGGCGCCCTGCACGCTGCCCCCCGGGCAGAGGTCCGGGGCAGCGCCACTTTCAAGGAGCAGCCCCCTCCCTCAGCGCCTCCCCCTCGCTGGGGCTCCCACACTAGGGCGTGGACCAGGGGACAAGGAGCTGGGACAGGGCCCCGCCTGCCTCACTCGGGTGGGGGCTCTGAGGACCCAACTCTTCCCCCCGGAGCCTTGGGGATGTGCTGGGACGTGGAGCTGGCGCCATTCCGGACTGAGAAGGGGCCCTTTGGGTCCCGGCCCGTGCCCCGCTCTGCAGCCCCTACCGCCGCCGAGCTGCGGCCCGCTGACCCGGTCCCAGGGTCGGCTGACCCGGTCCCGGGCCGGCTGTGCGCGGCCTTCTAGCTCATTCTCAACCGGCCTGCGAGCTGCGGCGGCGCGGCCTCTGCTCGAAGACTTATCGCTTGATTGTCACCGAGTTCCAGGGTGGCCCTGCCCGGACCCGCCAGAGCAAAGTGACCGAAAGCAACCAGTGCGAGCCGGGCAGCCGCCAGCGCCTAAGCCATGCCGGGCACGAGGTCCACGCCGGCCAGGCCGACGTGACCGGGCCAGGCTGAACACCGGGCACTCACGGGCCCAGCCTCTACAGTCCACGCAAACGCTCCGCAGACCCGAGCTCGCACCGGAAGGAGCCCTGGGAACCGGCCCCGGCGTCCCGACCTCGGACCCGGGCCCGCGGGGCACCCCTGGGCGGCCTCGGCTCCCCGCGGGCCGGTCACGCGAGACGGCAGCTCCGGCGGGAGCCCCGGGCCCCACGCCCTCACCGCGCGGCGCTCGGGGGCCTCGGGACGCGGGCCGGGCTCCGCTGTCCCGCAGAGGACATCTGCGACTGCCCCGGGGACCTTCAGGCCCGCGCCGGCCGCCGGACCCGAGCCGAGCTCCGGGCCTCGCGAGTTCTCCTCAGACGGACGCGGCGGGGCGGCCCCGTGCAGCGCGGAGGGGCGGGGCCGGGGCGGGGCCTGCGGGAGGGGCGGGGCCGGGGCCTGCGGGAGGGGCCTCGGGTGAGGCGGGGTCCGTAGGCGGGGCCGAGCGGCCGCGGGCGCGCGCGGAGAGGCGGGGCCTCGGGGTGAGTGAGGAGGGGTCCGTAGGCGGTTGGGGTCTGCGAAGGGGGCGGGGCCGCGGGTGCACGGGGCCTGGGGCTCCTGCTGGCCTGGGCAGCAGCACTCAGGGCTCAGCCTATGGCAGATCGGGCTCAGGCAGGGGCCCCGAGGCAGCAGCAGGCGCGCGCCTCGGGTGACAGAGGGCCAGGGGCTGGCACCTGCACATCCCAACCTTGTACGCCCTTCCGCCCTTGGTGCCCGAGCTTGTGAATGGGCACCTGAGCACGCCCAGCTCCTGGTCAAACACAAACAAGCCCAGGGGCTGGCGCTGCGGCCTCCTAGGTAAGCCTCCGCTGCGGCGCCGGCATCGCATGTGGGTGTGCAGCCCTCGGCTGTGGCCTGGGAAAGCAGTGGAGGATGGCCCCAGTCCTTGGGCCCTGCACCCACGTGGGAGACCTAGAAGAAGCTCCTGGCTACTGGCGTTGGATCTGCTCACCTCCGGGCCTTTCCACCATTTGGGGAGTGAACCAGCGGATGGAAGACCTCTCTCTCTCTGCCTCTCTCTGTAACTCTACCTTTCAAATACAATAATTTAAAACAAACAAGACTACCTTGGTGCAATGCTTGAAGTCCACTCCTCCTTTAGCCATACGGATTTCCCTCCAGCTTTTTGAAGACCCTGCCACCCTCTCAGTCACAAATACAACTAAATCCTCAGCCTCTGTGTGAGGGTGAGCGAAACCCATCTCTCATAGACCCAGAGGCCAACAGCTGTTCCCACTTTGTAATCGAGAGAGAGAACAGCTTAGCATGATGGCCCAACCTGCCTGTGAGCCCAGCCAGAGCACAGAGTTCCAGGGACAGCAGAGGGGCTCAGAGCTCACCCTAGTCCTACGTGCAGCTTGGGCAAAACAAAAACACTGGTTTTCTAATCGCAAGGGTGGGTAACAGGGGCTGCTGAGCTGTGGGGGGCAGAGTTCAAACGACCCCCAGGTTCTCACCGGTTGTCAGCTCTGGGCTGCAAGGACACGCATTCGAGCGCCACGGCCAGCACGTGCTTGCTAGACCTAAGAGCGGACCCGGAAGGGCGCTCTGCACTGAATTCTCGCTGTGGGGATGCTCCCGCCGCAGGCCACAGCCGAGCCACCACACCCGACCTGAAACGCAGCCCACCCCGTGGTCGAGGTCCAGCCCCGTGGGGCAGGAACACACGGGCCCCACTTCCTCCTCCGCAGGGCGGGGCCCACGGAAAGCACGCCCAGCGCCCACTTCAGGTGACAGCCGGACGCCCCCTCACGGATGTACCTGACACGGACCCCACAGAAACCCTGAGCTCCTGAGCCCAGAACTCCCGCTGCCTCGTCAGCCTTCCCTGCGGGGCCCAGGGGCAGGGCTGTGCAGGGCCCCCGTCTGTTCATGGCTGGATGACCGCTCGTGACTGCTGAGTGCGGGCAGGCCCGAGCTGCCTGCTTCGCGTCCACAAGACTCAGGACACAGCCAGAGCCCACGTGAGCAGCCTCAGGCCCTGAGACACCGGCCCGCGGGGCTGGAGCGTCCTTCATTCCCCATCAGCCACTGCTTTCTTTTGAAGAAAAAGACTGACTGACTGACTGACTGGCTGTCGGAGGAGCAGAGATCTCGCATCGGCTTCGGGGAGGCACCAGGCCCCCGCGCACATCCATCTGTGATCGCCAGGCCGGTCAGCATCAAGCCTGGAGCCCTGTACCCGCTGTCCCTTGGCGCTCTGGCGCTGCACCGGGGGCCAACGTGGCTCAGCCTGGTCACCGAGCTCAAACCCTCTGTAGATCAGCCTCCGTCCGGGGCCAGCGACTCCTCCCCACCCCCGCCCACGGTCCCCCAGACCACTAGGACAAACTCCTCCTGGGAGGCCTGTCCCGCTGCCACCGCCAGGACTGGGACTCTGCTGCATGGCCAGCGCCTGGACGAGGGGGAAGACGTGGGGCTCCTGCTCTCGTTCAGCACGTCGACCGAGCGCCGACCCTGTGCCAGGCGCCGTCCCAGGAATGCGGAAGTCCACGGCAGTCAATGCAGGAGCCTAGCGACAGCACGCCGCCTGCCCCGACACCTTGCCCGTCTGGGTCTCTCAGGCTGTCCAAGTGCCCCAGCAGCACCTGGCCGCGCGACCCCGTAGGAGGATAACGAGACAGACGAAGGCTGTGGTGGGCGGGACTGCTTTACTAATGGTGACCCACGTCCGCACTGTGCATCTCAGATGTAAATGGTATGTACAGGCCACGGACAGACCGGGGCAGGATTCCAGTCACGGCTGCGTTAAGGCTGCGGCTGCGTCCTTACACCCTCCAGCTGTACAACAGGAACGCGTTCTGCTGCCTCTGACGGAGCAGAACACGGCACGGACGACCGCACAGATGAACGTCACACTGGAAACACGGAGAACCGAGAGGGAAGCACTAGCACGTCTACACCCCAGTGCACGCGGGGCCGAGGGTGACACGCGGGGCCGGGGAGGCGCCTCCTTCACGGGGCTCCTGGCTCTCATGGCTGCCGCTCCGCCCCATCAGGGCTTCCCGCTCTGCTGCTTCTGCTTAGCTGCCCTCTGGGGCTGCTCTTCTCAGCTCCTGCTGGTAGGAGGACAAGACCTGCGCCCAGGGAGGAGGCAGTTCCCGTCACACAGCGAACATCAACGGGCCTGCCTGCCTTCTCCCGCGAGCGTCTTCCTTCAATGGCTCCGACAGCTCGGCCCTGGCAGAGGGGCACAGAAATACTGCGCGCCTGGAGGCCTCGGGGCTGCACCTGCACCGCAGGGAGGTGACTCAGGGCGCGCAGCTCGCGCACAGGCAGACGCTCTTGTGGAGGGCTGGTGCCTGGAGGACGCGCCGCGTCAGCCCCGCACCCGTCACGGCCACACGCGGCTCTGCCACAGCACGGCCCAGCGCCCTGTGTCCACTGCTCCTGCTCCTTGGAAAGGAGAGGGGGCTTCCCTCCGACCAGGTGGGATGAGGAAGTGAACCACTGGCCACGGTGTGGTTGCCCTTCCCTGGCCCAGCCTCGTGGCCAGCGTCTTGTCCTCTTGACCGTGGTGTGGAGAGGCAGTGACCGTGAGCACCGTCGTATTGACCCGTCAGTGGCTTCTCCAGACAGCTCAGCGGCCATCACATCCCTGCCTGTCCCCCCTGCGGCTCGGGGAGCACGGGAAGCCCGTCCAGTGGCCCCAGCAGCGCCGGCCCGGAGGGCTCTGCTCTTTCTAGGCGTGGGGAGGTCGTGGCAAACGCTTCGCAGAGTGACCCACACTCAAAGTCGAGGGGAGCGACCCACCCCCGATGCCAGCCCGAGGCCTCCCCAGGGAAGTCACCCAGCGGCCCTTCCATGCAGGGCAGTTCATTCTAAGGCACTGCGTTTGGAGGACAAGCGAGCGAGGTCAAGGGCACTAGAGCCGCAGCCTGGGGGGGACACAGCCTGGAACAGACCAGGGCAGCAGCTCTGGTGACAACCGCCTGGCTCCAGAGTGCGGCGTGTCCGGTTCGTGCGTCCGTGTGTTAGCGTGAGCTCCCCCCTGCGACCTGAACACCCTTTCCTTTGACAAAAGCAGTGCCCGCTGCGGAGCGCCGTCCCCATGTCCAGTGTGCGTGCAGTGCCGGGATGCCACAGGCTGCCGCCTCCCTGCCTGGGAGCAGGGCTGCAGCCACGCGGTGGCGCCTGCCGTCTAGGGAAACAAGCGACAGCTCCTCTCTGGAGGAGACGGGGTTTTCTAGGAGCACTGAGCCGTCCTGGACGGGGGCAGGGTCGAGACCTAAGTTTCGCTTGGCCGTACCACAGGGCCCGCGCTGCCTCCCCGCTCAGGGACTCGGCTACTTCCTGGAGTTGGACCTGAGCCCGAACAAGGCGATGATGTCCATCATTGCCTGCTTCACGTGCCTCCCAAAGCGGTGAGAATCCTGCGACAGAAAACGAGACTCGTGAAACGCGGGCCCCCAGCGTTTCCAGTCCTTGTACATGGAATCTGACAAGGAGTTCAATTAAAAACGTCTTTGAGGCCGGCGCCGCGGCTCACTAGGCTAATCCTCCGCCTTGTGGCGCCGGCACACCGGGTTCTAGTCCCGGTCGGGGCGCCGGATTCTGTCCCGGTTGCCCCTCTTCCAGGCCAGCCCTCTGCTGTGGCCCGGGAGTGCAGTGGAGGATGGCCCAGGTGCTTGGGCCCTGCACCCCATGGGAGACCAGGAGAAGCACCTGGCTCCTGCCATCGGATCAGCGTGGTGCGCCGGCCGCAGCGCGCCGGCCGCGGCGGCCATTGGAGGGTGAACCAACGGCAAGGGAAGACCTTTCTCTCTGTCTCTCTCTCTCTCTGTCCACTCTGTCAAAAAAAAAAGTCTTTGTGCCAACTCTAAGCTTTGATCTTGTGGCTTCGGCATTATCCTAGCCATGTTCTAGGGAAGCGTCACAGTCCCTGGACGCGTGACTGTTCCCACCTGAGGCTAAACACTGCGTCAACACTGTCGGCAAAGGAGCGCCCGTTCTGCCGGCTCCAGCGTCCCTGGCGGTGCCTGGCAGGATGAGGGTGCCGGGCCTGGAGCGCTCACTGCGCCTGAGATCCACACGGCCCCGCTGCACCATGCGGGCATGTTTTGTTTTCAAAAAAAAAAAAAAGGTTTTATTTATTCGCGAGGCAGAGGGAGAGAGGGAGCTCCCATCCGCTAGTTCGTTCCCCCGATGCCCACGCCGGCTGGGGCTGGGCCAGGTGGAAGCCGGGAGCTGGACCAGAGGCTCAGGAGCAGAGCTGGGGCCTCCAGTACGGGACTCAGGTGTCCTGACAAGGGCCTGCCCGTGTGTGGCCTCCGAGTCCAGCCCCCTGGGCGCCCCTTCCACCCGCCCCCACTCAGACTGCAA